CGATGCGGCTGCCCGGCGGGACGCCGCCAGCCCGGTTCTTCCTTGCTCTCTGCGTCTGGAGGCTGGTGCCGCGCCGGGACGCCGCAGGTAGCCGGGGCTGAGGGGAGGGGAGCGGCGACCGCGTGTGGGCGACTGTTAGAGCGGTACCCCAGCCTGCCATGGTCCTGAGGGGAGCTCCCCAGCGGGCCCTAACACTGATTTCGTTTTTTAAAAAGTAATTTTTTGCGCAGAAAGTAACAAGGTTTCCCTTTGAAAAGCCGGGCAGACGCCGAGGGGCTGGTAGAAGGGGGCACTCCCGCAGCCCCGTGGGCTGGCTGTAGGGGCCAGGTGCCCTTTGGCAGGGAAAGGGGAGAGCAGGAAAGGTGAACAGGGGAGATCAACAGTTGTGTCATCTTCCGTGATGGCTGCTGATATGGGGTGGCTTCTGTCTCCTTTTTCAGCACCATGTGCTTCCCTGAACCGTGCAGGGATGAGGCTACTTGGGCTGGTCCAGCAAAACGTTGGGTGACCGTGTTGGGTGACCTGGTGCCACTAGCGCTGTAACACCAGTCATGTCTGCTCCTTCGGGTCACTTGTTTGTTGCCCCTCTCTCGGGCAGAAGTAGCGTGTCCTTGCTTTCCAGTTGAGCCTTTTAAGCTGTGTCCTCTTCCCGATCATGCGCCTGCACTAAACATTGTTATCAGCCAAATGCATCTGGGAGATCCTTTAACAAGAACCCCCCTAATAAGCGTTGCAGAGGGTTGATATATATCAGATGCTGATGGAAGGGGGCTTTGCCGGTTCCTTACATCCTTAACACTGTTGCTTCTGTTTTGCAGGAACAGAGGAAGTGGTCTTTGGGAAGGTTGGAGGAAGCATCCTCCTTTTATGCCGAAATGTCTCCAAAGAAGCAACCGAGGTGGTTTGGTTTCAAGGGGATCCACACTCTTTCCCACCACTCTTCTCCTCAAAGGTCGCCTTCCCTCCGGATGTCCGCTTCTCCCTGGTTGACAACAGCTCTCTGCGCATCACAGGGCTGCGTGTGCAGGACGAAGGCTACTACACTTGCAAGGAGGTGCTGAACAAGACGGACCATGAGCACAGGGTGCAGCTCCTGGTAGCCAGTAAGTCTGTCCTGTGTTTGTGGATTTCCTCTCTTGAGTCTCACAGGTCCCCAGATTCGCCTGGCACTGGTGGAAAAATAATGTAAAAAAGGGCAAGGTGGCCTTATAATGCAAAGTCAGTGAGCAGGCTGATACTACTCAATTACTCATTCACTCATAAGCACCGAGACATCTGTCTAAATGGTCTGTCAAGGACCAGTTGTGTGCAATGCAGAGGACAGAATGCTAGTCATTAAGCCCTCTCTATGTCTCTTCAGTTCCTTCTTCACTGCTTATGATAAACTAGTTTTTGGACAGATCTTTAATATCCTGTAGCTCTTCCTTGGGTGGTCTTTGGCTCAGAATCTGGCTGACTTGAGCCTTCATAAATCTTAGGGTGGGGGCTGCTGCTCCCTGTCTTTTCTACCCTTGATTGAAGTGCATGTTTGAAGTAGATGTTGGTGTGAGGATGGAGGGTCCTCAGCTGAGTCTTACAGTGCAGCCTTCCAGTTCTGATGGAAACACCAAATTCCTCAGATTTCCTGCTGGAAACATGCCTGTTGTTATCGGCACAGTCCATTCTTTCAGCCTTTTTTTTCCTGTTCTGTCTTTTGGTCCTCTCTGACATTTCCATCCCTCTTGCAATCATTTGTTCTCTTAGAAATCTTCACAGCACAGGTGGAGGATCAGGCTGGAGAGCGCTTGAGTCACTTTGCACACCACTGGTGCAGGTCCTTCCTGCTTCTGTAGGGGAACCGTTATCTTGCCTGGATGTCCCAGCTCTTCTGTGGAACAGCCCCCTCCAGATTAGCAGGGAGCACAGGTCCTATGGCTAGTACCACTCTTGCTAGTCATTAAGTCCTCTCTATGTCACTTCTGTTCCTTCTTCACTGCTGATGATAAACTAGTTTGTTGACCCCATCACCAAGTCTGATCAGGTGTGACATAGGCTCTGGCCCCTCAGACCTGGGCAGTGACCTGCTGTCCTTTATGCCAGCCAAGCCCATATTACAGGGTTGAGAAGAGGGAAAGACTGCTGCCAGTTTGCCTTTTTTGGTGACAGAGCTCTGTGCAATGTTGACCCCTTCCTTTCTGGTCTTTCCATCAACATCTACCATGTGCGAGACCCGTTTTCTGTTTGCGTTCAGGGCGTTCCTTCCTTCTTGGTGTTTGGTGAAGGGTGTGTGTTATAAAAGTTGTACCTGTTTTGTACAGATTAAATCTCTGTAAATTCGCACGTGTAAAAATTCCCTTCCTGGGGTGAGGAACCTGTAGATGAGGTTTGGAGCATCACGAAGGTCTGGAGTGGAGGAATTGAACCTCAGTCTGCTTCAGAGAATATATCTGTAGTCATGGGACTTAGGAGGCAGGAGCCCTAAATCTGGAGCACTGATGCAAAACACTCATGAGCAAAAGATATCTATGGCATACCAAGTGTTGGTGCTGCGCTCTGAACTTCATTTATTAGAGTGAAATTAATGTGTCAATTAATTTCCAAAAGTTACAAAGGTGATATGGGACACTGGTGTGCCCTTAAATAGGTGAGAGAGGTGTTTCTGGTGGTGCTTTAGATCAGCAGAAGCACCAGCAAAGGCCAGAAGTCGAAGCTTCTCAGCGTCAGACAAGAAGCACGGGCCCTGATTTTTCACATTCATTGTTACTGGAGCAACTTAGCCTGGGCTGGAATGAACCTCAGACATAGACCAGGCACTGCTGTAAAAGAGTCCCCCAGGACCTGTAGGATGCATGTGGGACTTACCAGTTGACAGTCTTCAACCCATCTTATGCATTGTACCAAAAATCTTTTTTATGCTTAAAACCGCATTTAAAAAACCCACAAGCAGTTGATTAAACATTTAGTAACACAACAAAGGTGCAGCCCTGCCTTGAGCCGCTGTTCTGTGTTTGTTTTGGATGGGAAGCACAGGGTGTGAAGGAAACGTGCAGTTGCACACCTCCAAGGGATTCCTTGGTCTGTTTGTGTGCAATTTGATACACGCTGCTGTTGGCTCTTCTGTGGGCCTGAGGTCCTTATAGCTGGTGTTTTGTGAGAGTTTTTTGGTTATGGGGGACTGGAGGTTTTTAGGTTTTTGACATGTTAACTAACATTTTGGGAACAGATCACTGTTAGCATTTAGACAGAAGAGTAGAGATGTACTGGGAGGGCCTGGGAGTTCAGAACGTGAAGCTGGTGGCTTCAGGAGGCAGGTTCCTGGAACCAGCACAAACAGTGCAGTGCCCTGGCTGGATGTACCGGAAGGGCTGTGTCTGCCTCACAGACACCTTCCTCACGGGGCTGTTTCTGGTGATCCAGGCTGACAGGTTGCTCTTGTGAACCACAGCCAGGATTCAGGATCAGTTATGAGACCTACCCAGAGCTGGGACAGAGGAAGTATTGTAGAGAACTTTCTTGCCAGAGGTGGATGGTTTCAAAGATCATATGAGATGCATGTGTATAGTTCCTGGAAGGCCAAGCCCCGAGAAGGTATGTTCTTGTAGCTCACATGGGGTTTTGCCATGATGTTGGTTTTTTTAACTATGTCATTTGAAAGTCACTTGAATAACTGCTCTGCAAAATAAACATCAGGCATCCCTCTGACACCTCTTGTGTGGAGCTTGCTTTGGTGGCGTCTGATCTCGCAGTGGGGTCTTGTTCAGCGTTGGATTAGGCAAGCCAGCCACAGGGACACAGTGTGATAATTCAGCCTGGATCAGAGTCCAGAATCCCTATGACTGTTAAACAACACGTGTGTGTGTCTGTGCATGGGAGGTGTGTGTGAAACCAGCTGGTGGGAGAGAGACAAGAACTCACACTGCATGAAACATAAGACCTGCTCTGCCTGAATGGATTGCTCTTGGGTTACTACTGGCTTTTGACCTCCTCCTGCCATCATGTAGTTGTTTCTGTGTTTAAATAACAAACAAGTTGTGGTGATTACCATGCAGCCCTGGCATGAGGCCAGCAGTGACTTACCCTACCCATGTTCTTTATGGAGTTTGTCCCCACTGCTGCAGTGTGGTGTGGACACAGAGTGCGGTGCGTGGCTGAGCGATACCATCTGGCCCCCCACGGCAGTGACAGTGGTGCAGGAAGGAACAGAACACACCTAGTTTGGCTTCAGTGGCACGTGTCCATGGCCCTGACCCTGCGAGCTGAAGTCACCAGGAGTCCTTGTGGGCAGAGCATCTTGTACACTAGAACAGTCTCCTTCAGAAATGTGCTGGGCTTGCTGGGGCAGCCTTTGAGCTGGTGGCCCTGAGAAGCAGAGGCAAGAGCCCTGATGCTTTCTGTGGCCCCTTGGGAAATCTGAGTGCTTGTATCAGCAACGTGGAAAGACAGAGCCTTGTTCTCAAGTAGTGTGACTCGGTGTGACCCCCTTGTAGCTGTGGTGTGAGGACCAAGGGCAGCATGGAGATTTTGTTCCCCCACTGTGCTTTTAGGTGCTTATCTCATCTCTGCTGAATAAAGCTGAGGCAATAATTTGTTTCCTCCCTGCGCGTTAGTCCCTCAAGGCTTGGCTTTGGTTACTGTTAGGGGTTTTGCAGGACAGCCTCCTGCTTGGTCCCTCTTGGCTGTCCTTGTGCTCCCCTGGGGCTGTGGGACACAGGTCAGGGAGCAAGACAGGCAGAGAAACCAGGAAGACTTTCAAGGGGAGCAATGGCAAAAACAGGCACTTGCTGGGGATCCAGCCCTGAGGTGCTGAGAGCTGAGCTCAGAAATGTTTCTAACCATGTGCTGTTCTTCCTGATAGATCCACCGCAGTCAACCCCAAAGTGCTGGGCTGAGACTTCCTCATCGGGGCAGATGCTGCAGCTCTTTTGCAGCTGGCCTGGGGGGTACCCCCACCCTACCCTGCACTGGAGAGAAGAGGGGCACAATCTGGAGAACTCAAGCTGGGTCATCAGCTCCACAAGCTCCTCGGACACCCACGTGGAAACACTGAACAGCTCCCACCTCTCCCACCGCAAAGTGTTCAAGTGTGTTGGGAGCCACGTTGTCAAGCAGGAGGAGCCTGCGTGCACTGTGGAGATAAGTGAGTTGATTTGCCTGTCTTATTAACTATTAATGAGTCTGCTAATGGTGGAGCAGACAGGTACCCCGGTCATTCTCTGCCCTCCAGAGCACTAAGGCGACATGCAGGCAAGCCAGGCTTGCAGGCGCTTGCCTCAGGGAGAGATGCTAACGAGGCAGTGTGCCAGGGCTGGGCTTGTGCCGAGGTGCCTGCACGAGTCCTGCAGCTGAGACCCCTCACGGCGTAGGTGTAGGTGAGTTGTGTTTTGGGTACATCTTCAGGGGCCAACAAATCTCCCTGCACCAAGCTTTTCACCTGTGCAAGCACTTGTGCCTGAGTGACAGGGAGAGGCAGTTTTAGTGCCTTGCTCATCTGGAGATTAAGTTTCATTTTGAGATTAAGTTTGGCAAGGCTGGTTTATAGCAGAAGGGTCCTGCGTGCCCCCAGGCCCCCTTCAAGCATCTAAGGGAGCTGACTAAAGTGGCTTTTGAAAACCTGAGCTGTATTTGTCCTCCATGGGTTGTCAGGGCTACAACAAGAGCTCTGCTGATCCCAAGGAAAATTCCTGGGCTGCCTTTCTTCTCTCTGCCATCTTCTCACTGGCTACCATCTGACCATTCTTCCCTGGGGATGCAAAGGCAGGTGTCAAAAAAAGGACTGAGTAACGTGGAAGTTGCTCAGACCACTCCTTGGAAGGCTGCTGAAGTTGAGTGAGTGAGCTGAGTGCCAAACCCACAGTGCTCAAGTCCCAGACTCCTGTCTGACTTCCTTCTGTTAATAATTATTAATCATTAAGTCAGATGGCTGATTACTTGTTATGTTAAACTCCTCCATTCCCTTCTTGACTCTTTCTTTTTTATTTCCCCCTTGGGCTGTTCAGAAATCCCTTCTTTGGAGTCAGAGCCTCCAAAGACCTGTTTTGTGGGTGACAACGTGACCCTGATGTGCCGTGTGACCGAGAGCACCCCGGCAGCGAGGCTCACCTGGCTGCGGGGCATCACCCAGCCAGAGGTGGAGATCCAACCTGGAGGGAGGTACCTCATCGCCCAGGAAGGCAACGTGTCCCGGCTCACCATCCAGAACTGCTCCCAGGGCACCGACGGAGGCTGTTACGTCTGCAAGGCACAGAACCCCGTGGGGCTGAGGGAGCTGTTCGTTTGCCTGACGGTGAAGGGTGAGTGGGGTTGCCAGGGGTTGCTGTGGCAGGGATTGAGGAGAAGTCAGGAACACAGTTCACGGGGGCTACTGGAAAACCCCCACAGGGCTCCACGTGCCACCAAGAGCCCTCTTTGCCTGCTGATGCTTTCCACACACTTGCAGCAAGCATAGATGCAGGACTGGCTCCCTTCATCACAGGGTGAAAAGGCCCGATCCCATCGCCTTGGCGTAACAGGCCTGAGGGAGGTGCTTCCTTGGTCCCTCCTGGGGGCTGTGAGTGCAAAGGAGCTCCTCCCAGGGCCAAGCTGCTCATGATGCAGTGGGCATCTTGATTTGCTCTCACTAAATGCACATGGGTGCAAAATTAGGGGCCTTGTTGTGGTGCTCTCTGTATCAACAAAACACAAGAGCCTGAAAGTGGGACTGTTGCAATGATGAGAAATGGGAGCTGAGACAGCATCGGGACCTGCTGTATCTCTTGCACTGAAAATTCCTCATCCATCCATGTCCCAGTGCCAAGCTGACCTCTTGTGTCTCCTCTCCACAGAGCCGGTGAACATTGTTGGGGTGGTGGGTGCCGTGGTGGTCCTGTCCCTGCTGGCTGTTCTCACCATCACCGGGATCATCTTGTACTACAATCCCCTCCTGTGCCTGAGAGGTAGGAGCTCTCCTCTGCACAAGCTGGGAGGGCGTTACCCCTTCCTGGGGCAGCCTGTTTTTATCCCTAACCAGCTTGTCCCTTCTGCTGTGCTGGACTCAGCCTGATGATCACCCCAGCCCTTGGGTCTCATCCTGCTCCTGGCCAGAACCCTGTCAGCCCTGGAGGCAGATGGGTTAGAAACACAAGGCCTTTCCCTAGCTGAGTGTTTCGGGCACCTTCTCCTTGCCTTAACTGTGCTGGGATGGGTCTTCTCCTCTTTCCTCATGACCTTTCTGGTGCTCCCATCCTATATGGGGGCAGGTCACCTTCACATCCATGTGGCTGCCAGAGACCGTCCTACCACAGGCAGGACTGTGAGGAGTCGTATGGTAAAACCAGCAGCACACTGGGGCTCGTTTCTAACTGTCTTTTCCCTTCTCTCCCATTCAGGTGCTGCATTCAGGTGAGTGTTGATTTTCCCCAGCCCCATCCTGCGAGGCCTCACTAGTCTGTCATCTCCTGGCCGAGGTGATCTCCCTGTAGGGTGGGGAATCCACCTCGGAGGCAGGAACTGTGCCCAGACAAAGCTGTGCTTACATGGGAGCCTCCCGCGGGAAGGGGGTGATGGGGATGAGTGAGACTCGGTGCAGGAGGACGAGGGGATCGGAGGGCTCTTGGTGTCAGAGCAGGAGTGGCATCGTGCTGGGGCGTGCGGGTGTGGGAGGAGGCTGTGCAGGAGAGCTGCTCCTGGGTACAGGGGAGCCTGACAGCTTGGAGAGTAAATCGAAATGGTGATCTACCACCCCGTATGGGCGTTTGCCCATGTCCTTCCCCCCTCAGGAGGGATGTGTGATCGTGAACATGAACAAGAGCTGCCTGGGGGTTCAGGCATGCTGGATTCCTTCTCTGCTTCCTGCCTGAACCCCTCCTGGCCCTGTGCCCTGCCCTTGCCCCTGTTGGTTCTGTTCCCACAGCTATGGTGCTGCTGCAGGGGAAGACTCGTTTCTGAGTGCCTGCGTTTCCCCATCGGTACAGGAGGGGAGAATAACTCCCCTCAGGAGGGGTTATGCGGTTTAGTACGTGAATATTCTTGAAGTGGTTGGAGGACTTTGGAAGACCGATGGGAAGCAGTGCAGAACGCTTTTGGTGGTGTTTGCTGCCAGCAGGGTCTGAAACCAGCCGGTCCCTGAACACGGTTAGTGCAGGATTGGAAGAGTCCATCAAAATTGATTGTTGGTGTTAGAGGGTTGTCAGATCCAGGGCAGGCACGGGCTGGAGGGAGGGTTCACGACAGGCTGTCCTCAGCCCTTCAGCCACCTCTGCTTGCTCTGCTGTTCACAGGAATCAAGACTCGGGTGATGTCTTAGTGCTGGTGGACTCAGATGATGACGATGAGGGGAAGGGGGAGGAGGAGAGCAGGAGCGGTTCCACCAAGCACGAGGCGATGGTGATGGTCAATGGGCACCACATCCAGGCTGCTCACCTCAACTGCCTGACGGAAGGTGAGCCCTGCCACCTGCCCGCTGGCCTGCTTTTGGGGCCAGACCTGCCTGTTCCCCTGCTAAGCTCTGGGTCTTCCAGGAGCAGCTGCTGTGAGGGAGGAATTCCTGTTGTCTGGCTTGCTGGCTCCTGCTGAGATGCTGCTGCTCTGTGCCCTGCATAGGTGACGATGGCGAGCAGCGTGCCGGGGTCTCCCTGCAGGACACGGGAGGAGAGACACGAGGCACGTAGTTCCCGCCCCTCCGTGCAGAAGCACACGCAGCTCTGCTGGACGCCTGGCGTCACGCTCGTCCTCGTCGCCATGGGGCTGGGCGCGGGCCGTGGGGGTCCTGCAGCGGACTGCTTTGGCCAGAGCACCCCCACTTCCCCCTCCCCTCACCCCTGCCCCACCTTTCATTCCCTCCTTCCCCAGACTTGTTTCTCCATTTCTCTTCCCCCCTCTTCATGTTCCTCTTTGTCTTGGGTGTCTTTTTTAACAAGGTGGCACCCAGCGCAGGCAGAGCTGGGGAAGGAGGTCCCAGTAGCCCACTCCTCTCCATGCCTGTGGCAGACTCCAGTACCAGTTCAGGATTCTGGCCCAGGCGCCACGAGCAGTGCTGGGGTTGTGGGGAGCGTGATGGAGAAAGTCTCCGTGGGGCTGCAGGGGTCCTGGGATAACAGAAGAAACAACAGTTGCACAGGCAGGACAAGGGTGATGCTGACTTTAGGGAGGCTTAATTCTTTTTATTATAAATATTTTTTCCTCTATTCCTTCTGAAATGTTTCTCTGTTATCTAAGTTGGGAGTTAATCTCTACCTTGCAGTGTGGTTTTGAGGGGGATCCCTGGCTGTGTTGGAAAGCATGGAGGGAATTTATACAGGGAGGGGATGAGGAGAGCAGGATCTGCACGGGGGGATCAGGGCAGCTGGGGAAGGGAACTGTAGAGTGGGTAATGGAGGAGCCAGGGCATGTGGGAGAGGAGGGAGGGACAGGTCAAGTCTGAGCCCCCAGTGGGGTCAAGGGAGGGACTGGAAAGGCACAGCAGGAACAACGGGGAGCAGCTGTGTCCTCAGAGGGGAGCTGGGGGGACACGGGTGTGTGTGGGGGGCATGGGAGGCGATCAGGATGTAGGGGCAGGAATGGCTTAACAGGGCAGGATGGTCTGGAACTGGGATGGGGGCGTGGAGGGGAACAGGAATAAACTGTGTCAAATGGGGAGTGAGTTTGCGTGGAGGGTGTCAGGGGAGTGAGTGCTCGAGGGGTCGGAGTGTGTGCGGAGGGTGGGGGGGGACCTGAGCACGCACTGGGGGAACCAGGGGATCTGGTGCGCGTGGGGGAACCCAAGGGCACGTGGAGGGGAAAGGAGGCGCTCCTGGGCAGGTGGTGAGGGGCAGCGGGGTCTGAGCCCTCCCTGGGCTGTGAATAAGGGCAGTGTGAGATGGAGGAGAGCGGAG